GTTTGAGGAGGTTATGATACCTTTGGGAGATGGAGCCTTGCTGGAGGAAGTCCACTCCTGAAGGGCCGGCTGTGAGTTAATTGCCTCGCCCATTTCCTGTTCCCTCTCGCTGCTTCCTCTGTGTAAAAGGAACTGTAACCAGCTAGTTTCCTGTTCCAACCAGCATGCCTTCCCTACCATGGTGGACTCTAGCCCTTTGGAACTCCAGGCCAAAATAAACTCTTTATTTATTTATTTATTTTTAAAAAAATCATTTATTTAAATTTATTTTATGTGCATTGGTGTGTGAAAGTGTCAGGTCCCCTGGAACTGGAGTTACAGACAGTTGTGAGCTGCCATGTAGGTACTGGGAATTGAACCCAGGTCCTCTGGAAGAACAGTCAGGGCTCCTAACCACTGAGCCATCTCTCTAGACCCCAAATAAACACTTGAAGTTGTTTTTGGTCACGATACTTTGTCACAGCCTCAGAGACGTAACTACCACAGGCGAAGAGGAGGAAAAAGGTGGCAACTTTCAGCCAGGGCACACTGCGTGGAGGACAGGCTGGTCACAGCCTTTTTTCACACCTGCTAGCTCTTGAACGAGAACTAATAGAATCTTTGTGCCTGTAACCCTAAAAGGAACAGACAGACATTTCTACCACCTTCTGTGATGGTTAGCTTGAATTATCAACTCAACCTAACCTAGAGTTGCGCGAGGAAATCCTCAGTGAGGGGTTGTCCACACTGGGTTGCTTGTCCTAATTAATTGACGCGGAATAACCCAGCCCAGTGTGCATCTCCCCTCCCTGGGCAGGGGAGAAGTTGAGCTGAGCACAAACAAGCAGGTGGGCCCTTTCTCTCTTGACTGTGGGTGGGTGTTTGAGGTGTCTGCCTTGACTTCCCCACAGTGATGGCTTGTAATCTGGAATCACGAACTGGAAGTGACCCCTTCCTTCTTTCTTTTGGTTGGGGTATTTTACCACAGCAACAGAAATGAAACCAGAGCACCCTCGTGTCTCAGTCTGATGTTGTTTCTCTGTGTGCCAAAATCATTAAAAACAAACAAAACAAAAAAAAAAAAACGAAACACACACAAAATAAGCTTTCGAAATAATTAGAATCTGCAAGGCCTTCTGCATCTGGCTCCCCACACTGACTCATTTTACAATGTCCTTTTTTTTTTTTTTGCCCCCACTTACTCACAATTCACATTTTAAGCTTTAGCCCGCCTGTGGAAACACTTGAGCAACCGACCTCGCCAATTCTTCTGAAATTCCTTAAAAGAATTGGGCTTAAAATAGGAAGTCTTGATAACTGACATGAAAGCCCAAATAACTGAGCTGGCATGATGGTTCAGCGGGCATTGTTGCTTGCTGTCCAGCCTGATGACCTGAGTTCAACCCCTGGAACCCACCTGGTGGAAGGAGAGAATTGACGCCCACAAGTTGTTCTCTGACCTCCGCATGTGTGCCATGGCATGCACCCCCCGCCCCAATAAAGAAAGCCCAAATAATTGCCCAACTTTTACGCGGTAAGCACAACATGCAAAGGGCTTCAGTAGATTCAGTTTGGATTCCCAAACTTTGTTCTTTAAGTAGCAAGTAAAGTTGATTTGCTGGTAGCTGATCAGACTGAAAGGTGTATGCAAGTCCCCAGTCCCGCCTTCCACTTAATTGGCACCCACATTTACTCTTTCTTTTCATTGTCTTTAGAAGAGACATGGATTGCTGGATCATGCACAGGAATAAGCTGGGTATGAAACATGCCACACAGACCACCCCACCCCGAGGGCCCCCTCTGTAGAGTCCTCTGTCCTGAGCATTTTGTATTGGACCAGACTCTGGAGGAGACCTTTACTAGAACACAATTATCCCTCATGGTGACTTGCTTCTCTGCTTTGGAACCTGCATTAATAGTGGGTACTTGGCTGGTTTCTTCAATCCTTGGGACTTCACATGTATATGTGATACCCGAAGGACCAAGCACATGAAAGACACTACCGGTTTGTGGGACGAGACCCAGGAAGTTGGTGAATAAGTGCCCGCTGCATACCTGTACATGAGGTCCAAGACAGCCCTTCCGTTGTTTTTTTCAGTATACGTTTTAATTTCCTAACCTTTTCTCATTTGCGTAGATATGGGACTTTAATGAGGGGGCTTACATACACTGAACACATGGACCACCTTGCAGTACCCTCTTGCAGTACCCTCAGCCTTTTGTCGTTTCAAAGACAGTGGCGTGCACTGTAGATGATGGGGGACTGTGAAGAGCCATCAAAGAGAATGAAAAGTGCCCCCTAATGCTGTCACAGTGATCACCAACATTGTAATGTGTACTCCTTCAACTCACTTTCCTGGATTGCACCTGTAATACAATGACATTTGTGTTTTAATCCCATGGAGATGCTGTTCATCACGTGCACTTTCCTTTTGACACATCAGGAGCATTTCCTGTATCCGCCCATATTTTTCAAAAGCATCATTGTATCTGAAGATCAGTGTAGCAGATGGCTGGTTTAAGTGTAGCAGCCTGTATTGTATACTGGTGATTTGGCTCAAGTAGATTTTAGATACTCTTACAACAACAACAACAAAAGTCAAGTGACTGAAATGCTGCATATGTTAACTTGCTTGGCTTAGTAATCACTCCATGTGCCTATATGCACATCGAGACATCATCCTGCACCCAGTAAACATACACAGTAAAGAGCAAAGAAAGGTGACTGCGGCGTCTCACAGCACACGTTTAACTGAGTGCTGGGTGTGAAGAGCATTCTAACTGAACATCTCAGCATCTGCCCTGAGGGTCCAGCCCCAGGGGTGGGTCAGGACTGGAGTTAGAGCCCAGCTTCCATCCCACTCATGTCTCACTTGGTGGGTCCTTCCTAACCCAGGTGCTCTGCTTTTGTTAAATCTCTAAGTATCCAAGCAGGAAAAACAGCAACAATAACAACAACAGAAAAAAAACAAAAAACAACCAATCCTTTGCTTTAATTGTGCATCATAGATGAAACAATTCTTTTTTTGTTGTTGTTGTTTTTGTTTTTGTTTGTTTTTTGAGGCAGGGTGTCTCTACATAGCCCTGGCTGTCCTGAAACTCACTATGTAGACCAGGCTGGCCTTGAACTCACAGATCTGCTGCCTCTGCCTCCTGAGTGCTGAGATTAAAGGTATGCGCCACCATGCCCAACTTGAGAAAATTCTGGGACTTTTTTTTTGGGGGGGGGGGCTAGAGTTACAGATAGTTATGAGCCACCATGTGGGTTTTAGGAGTCAAACTCCTAAAGTTTGTAAGAGCAGCTAATGCTCTTAACTGCTGACCCATCACTCCATCCCCCACTTTTTAAGAAAAATGCTTCTATCTTGAAATTTTTAGACAAATGTTCTACAAGCTTACGCCAGCTAGCTCATTCTTTCCTCACTGGTTTAAAATGTTGCCTGTGTAGATTGCTAAAAAATCTCACATTCCCTCAATGCTGTTTGTAAGCTTTTGTTTTGTTTCATGAACCTGTGTAATGTTGTTGCAGCACTGAGCCATTATATCTATCCTATTTCTGTATCTACTAGAGTGAGCCTACTGTCATTGTTTCCTTTTCAATGTATCCCTGCCTATTTTGACCAGTTTGTTGCTCTTGATTGAGAGTTTTTCTGCCAGACTGGGAGGTTAAATGCTGTCAACTTTGTAGGTGATGATGGTTTTAACCAGTGCTTAG